TCCCAGACACCTGAAGATATCAGCACCATAACTTTGCAGTTTTAAAGTTTAGATACAGAGAGGGAATTGAAGAAATCTAACCTACCATGGGAATTATTAGCATATTATGTATGATCTTGACTGAAACTGTTACAAATGCCACTGGAATATGCCTTATCTCTCCCAAGGATAGAGTAGCTCTGCCATAATGATAAACTTTTCAGGGCATCACTGTGGATTAAAGCAGATTCTAATTATTTCTATGTGCCTTTTTTTCTACATTGCATGATGCAAAGATATTTGCTAAATTAAACTGGATTCAGGGTGTATCCAATTAATAGGTATTATTCAGTAATCAAAACAAGAAAGTGCTAGTAAGGATGATTCTAACAACAGAGGGCAGAAAGAAAGCATAATGGTTGTCATAGTATTTTATCATTCTTCTATAAATCAAATGTACTAGGTTATTTTTTTAAAGATTTGTTTATTTATGCATACAAGAACTGGGGTACAGGCCAGAGGTACAGGGGGTGAGGGGATTCACCAGAGATAGAGTGGGGAACAGAACACGCAGGTCGACTGAAATACACTGCTGAGGGGAGCAGCAGGCAAGTCAGGAGAGGTCTGCTGCTCCATGTGGGTAGCTTCCTGGCAGGGGATCGCTTCATAAATTGCATCTTAACCCCTTGCGCCACCAGGGAGGCCCCACTAGATTATTTTAGATTATTATTACTGCAGTAGATTATTATGGAAGTTACTCCCTCCCTACTCCTTTTATGGGCAGAGAATATACTTCCCTGCCCCCTCACTTTGGACTTGACAATGTGGCCTGCTTTAGTTAATGGAATATAAAGTATGATGTAACCAACAACTGAAAAGCACCTGAACAGTTGGACTTGCTCTCTTATACTGTCACTCTAGCTATAAGAACTTTGCCTAGGAAGTTATTTTCTTTAGTCTATGTCCCAGAATAATGTGGAAAAGTCCTGTGTGAGTAGCCAAGAGTCACCCAACTTATTAGCCCAGTCAACATCACCCAATCCCTAGCAAATCCACATATTCATAAAAATATCTATTGTTATGTGCCATGAGATTCTCTGATTATTACACAGCAATATATATTTCATAGAATGATACTGTGACAACCATAAAGTCTTCATTTCCTCTGTAATTCAAATAATCAGCAAATTTATATGTAATTCTGGACAGAAACCCTTCCACTCCAAACACCATCTGACTAGCAAAGCAGTATTTCATTGTTTCTTTGCTCTTCAAGGACAGAAACACAATGTAAATGAGGATCTTGAATCACAAAGCCTGGGTTTGCTCTCAGGCACCTTGCTAGCAAAGTGTCTTCTTGCAAGCTACTTAACCATTATAGAATCCATTTCCTCATCTGAAAAATGGGGGTTAACAATAATGCTGAATATATCTTAAAGGATTACTAGGAGGATAAAATTTGAACAGTACACTTAGAACAGCCCAGAATGAACACTAAACAAATGAATATATGATACTGTTTGCTGTTCATGGCTGACTATTTAAAAAAAAAAACACAACTCTCCCACTTTCTACTGTATTAATCCTGTTACTGACACAGTCTAGTCAGGTTTTAAGCCTGGAACAGGAAAAGAAGGATACCTGGAGGAAAAGCCAAATCTTGTGAAGGAACAAGACCTCAGAAGCAAATTCCAACACAACAGAATGATCTTAAGCAGGCAGTAATTCTCTCTCCTGGCTCTGTGGCTTTTACTGCCTTGTTCCCTATCTCCCATCCTGCCACCTATGAAGGCAATTCACAAACTAGAATGGTAGTGCCACAGGGACAAATCATATTTTTGGTTCAACATTTTTTTCAGTATCTATTCCACTGTTATCACAGAAATCTTCTGTAAAATGTTCTAGCTGTCTCAGTAGGGTTTTGGGAGACTAAAGGGAATTATCTAGAGTTCCCCCAAGTACAAGGTAAATCTTGTAGAACACTGGTTGAAACTGTAAGATCTGATAGACATTTCCATAGAGATTTCTCACCCCCTCCAATGATAATTTTAGGATGATGATTTATTAAGAAAAGTGACCAAGTTGTTAAAACTCTGGCAAATATTTTCTATTTCATCCTCAATGAGTTCTTATCACACACCTATAGAAAGCAGTATTAAAATAGAGTAGATGGAGCCTCCCTGGTGGCGCAGTGGTTGAGAGCTGGGCTGAGAGGCTGGCCACAGCCTCTGCAGCACCAGTTCGATCCCTGGCCGCCAGCGAGGGTCCCACATGGCCCCACATGGCGCGCAGATCTCTCCTGCTGCGCCCGCTGCTCCCCTCAGCAGTGTACCTTGGTCCTTCTGCCTGTTCTGCTCCCCGCTGTGGCTCTGGTGAATTCTCTCACCCTCCCGCTCTTCTGACTGTACCCAGTGCTTGTATAAATAAAAAAATATTAAAAAAAAATAAAAAGAGGAGATGGGCTTTTAAAATATTTTAACACCACAAGGATTCTTTTTTCTTTCTTCATTCTCATTCTTTTTTAATTGTATTGCCATTTATCATAAAACAGTTTTATCCCTATGTAATGAAGATCTCACACAATATACCCCCTTCCCTTTGGTAAGGGAGAAAAATTCTTATAGAACAACAAGTATTCTCTTTTAAAAGTTCTTTTTCTAACTTAGCAATAAAAATTTGCAGACAATCATTCAAAGTAGAAGAAAATTTACTACAAATTTAGTAATTTCACTGCCAATTATTTATTGTATGCATCTATGACAAACATGTATCAAAAAAATTAGCAAAAAGACATCAGTAATTTGTAATTTCATACCCCATTTCCTGTATAAGTGTATCCAGAAAAGAAAGTGAAGGCTAATTTAAACTGGGAACAGGTAAAGGATCCACAGAAACTCTAACAACTTAAACTAAAATAGTTTGAAATGCTTATTCAACCAGTTTATAATTAATCCTACTGATTTAAAGCAAAGCTTATTACAGTGAAAAATCTAAGTATTTAAAATGCAATCGCTTGCTTTTAGATACATGTTTCTCAAGCAAATATGAAAAGGTATTGAGTCATAATAATTCACCCAGTATTATCTCTACAGTGACATTATTAAGGCAAGTCATTCAGGAGATCATGTTAGTTCCATAAGAAGTCAACCTCAAAGAGAAAGAGGCCCCCAAACATTCTTAATGTTATCACCCACAGATTTGGCTGATTTGTATTTTTAACCTAAACAACCAATTGGAATAGCATTTATGGTAGTAGATCTCAAAAGGGCTGGTCCCCAGCAAAGTCCCCCTCTGTTTATGCATGTGAGTCTTGTCTATAAGTAAAGATTATTTCCTCTCTGATTCTAGGCTGGCTTTGACTGTCTGACCAATAGTGACATTCTTAGATTTAAAAACCTATACTTAAGAGACCTGGCTGATTGGCTTATATTTACTATGGCCTAGAATGTTCCTTCTTACAACCATACTTTAATGAAATCCAAAGGCCATGTGAAGAAAGGAGGTCTGAAGGTTTTTAGCAATAGCTTCACTTTCAGCCAGTGGTCCAATTATAAGAATGTGGTCATTTCAGGGCCTTCCCTGGTGGCGCAGCAGTTGAGCACTGGCCTGCGAAGCGGCCCAAAGCCTCTGCAACGCTGATTCAATCCCTGGCCACGGCCAAGGGTCCCACATGGCGCAACAGACCTCTCCTGCCGCGCCCGCTGCTCCCCTCAGCAGTGTATTTTGTCACTCTGTCTGTTCTGTTCCCTGTTCTGGCTCTGGTGAATTCTCTCACCCTCCCGCGCTTTTGACTGTACCCAGTGCTTGTATAAATAAATAAATAAATCTTTAAAAAAAATAATAATAACGTGGTCATTTTGAACACTGCAGTCAGGCTGGCACCCCAGCCCATACCAACTGAAACAGAAAACCCTGGTGAGGTGGGGCAGAGGGAGATTTTATACTGCGTGACTTAGCAACTCTATAAAAACTATTTTATGTGCCCTAAAATTATTTCATCCAAGTTTCAAATGTCTCCCCAGTTCTAACATTCTGGGGACATTTTAATCCACTCATCAACTTCATCCCTCAACTTGTCTTGAGATCATATATATAATATATATATATTATATATTACACATATACAAAACATTTTGTGTTTGTATTAATTAGTACACAGTACACATGGAAGGACTATTCTTGTAAACAAATTGACGTATTTATATAATATCTGGCTTTGTTTTTCCTTATCCTTTGCTTCAATTATGAATTGTGAATAGCAGTTTTTGTGTGAATGCCCTGGTTTCCATAGGCACATTTTACAAAAAAAAATATAACATATATTTTTGGTAAAAAAAAAGTATTATATATTATATACTATTATATATTATATATTTTTAGTAAAATGTGCCTACATTGCTGCAGTCATTTTCATTTCTCTTCTCAGGTCCTCTTCCAGTTCCCATTTATTGCTTCTGAATTATATAATTTTGTTGATTAAGTATTAAGAAAGGCCCTTGAGGACCTTCTTAAGTCAAATGAGAGATATTAGCATACAGGTTATTTAATGCTACTACTTTTTTTATCATCTGTTTCTAAAAGTTAAACATGCTTTCTGCTTGGACTATTTTTCACATGTGTAAATTATGCTCAACTCTGAATTAGTAGTCTTCTTACTAAGATTTTATTGTAAAACTCCTAATCAAAGCACTACATTAATGCAGTAATAAGCAAAATTCATGAACTATACCCATGTTAAAATGCCAACATGGCATTTTAAACAAATTTTCTTAAAACTATGGAAACCAGGGCATCCACACAAAAACTGCTATTCACAATTCATAAATGAAGCAAAGGATAAGGAAAACCAAAGCCAAATATTATATAAAAACGTCTATTTGTTTACAAGAATAGTCCTTCCATGTGTACTGTGTACTAATTAATACAAACACAAATAAAATACCTTCCTATCTAAAATGGACTCTGAGTAAACAGACATGTTATAGCTGGGTAAATAGGACCAAAGGCAAGTTGTGACTTACTCAGATTCATAGTAAGACTGTAACCGAGCTGAAAAAGAATACCCAATCTTGAACTCTCCATTCTCTGCTTCAGTTATTAAAGTGTCATTCTTGGTAACCCGCTTCCACTTGATCTTTTCTCAAACAGATGCCAAAACAACAGGAGGGGTCAAAAATATTTGAAAATAACTGAAATTAAAGGGAACAACTGTCTCTTCTTTGTGGAAAGTGACTCAAACTACTATATGGCCATCACTAGATTCACTTAATTCAACCAGGAGACCATTATCCAAACACAACTGACTGGTACAAAGCAGAGATAGTAGCTGGGAATGTTCCTAGGTTGAGGTCTAATGGGGAGTAAAGATTACCTCATAATGTCTCTTTATGATCTGTAAATCACATTATTCCATAAATCTGACACAAGTGTCAAGATTATGACTGAGTTAACATCTAAGTAGGAAAATAAAAAAAACAGCTGCTACTTCTCTGACTTAAATCTAGAAGGTGACTGTAGATATAAAACAATTTTTTTTCTCCTAAAGTGAAAAGAAAATTTGAAGTCTCCCCTTAATATTCTAGAATTTTAACACTGGCAGAAATTCAATAAACTTCCTCAGGCAGGCCTAATGGAATTTTGCTAAAAAAAAAAATGATACACTCAAATTTAACTGGTTTTGAAAGCACTGATACAAAATACAAAAAAAAAGCAAAAAATTACGATATAAAGTTTAAGTTTTAGCAGTCTCTGAAAAAGTATTCTTGTATAAAGGGAGCAGTTTAAAGACTAAATTCAATAAGGTTAGTGTCCATGTTCATATTTAGATTTGTTTTGGTATTTCAGGCCAAGACACAAAATAACAACTATGTAACAAAGAAATAAGATTTGGCGTGGCAATTTACAATAATTTCTGAAAAAGTAAGACTTGGCTGCAAATATTATCAATGTCCCTCCACCTGTTAAGAAAGAGTCTAAGCACACCATCATTCTTTAGCTGTAAGCACAAAGTCTGGTTTTTACACCTAAGATATACAAGAAAGTATCAGATTAAAAGGGTCAAATATTGGACTATACAGATTTGCCAAATAAAAGTGTTGCAAAAGAAAAGCATGATACAAAATTAAAGAATTATGTTCTAAAGGATTTAAACAGATGAACAAAATCCAAGTTCACACTGTACTTAAACCTAAAACTGCTAAGTAACCTGACATCTCCCCATTTATCTCCTGAATTTCTCCACTTATCACTTCTTGTGAATCTTGTGTCTAATCGCCATTGCTTTTCCTTTCCCAGAAAGTGATACAGCACCTGGCTCCCACAGTTTATCTATTAGCTATGCATTTTACTACATTTAGCACTGTTTTGTTTTACCCTACTAGGTAGTTATTAATTTTGGCCTCAATCTCCCGTATCCGTTTCCCAGACTAATGATCATCTTGCTTTTTCACCAATGCATAGTTACAATAATTAGCCTCTCCTTTCAAAGTAAAGTATGTATTTCTTTTCCTGACATTTGTAATCCTAGCTCACAGTCAACACTGCCTTTCCTAAAGACTGTCACCATAGCTCTCGTCCCCATCTCCAGTCCTATGTACCCAAGTAAGGCCTCTTCCTCTTCCAGAGTTTGTCAACATTAGTTTGGCCAGATACTGCACCCTGAAGGCAATGGCTCTCTCTCCCTGCTCCTAGTACAAAACTACAAGTCTTAGCAGCCCTGGCTCTCTCTCCACCACCCTTAGATCCATTTACATCCAGCCCAGCCCGCTGCCCCCGCTACCCCCAACATCTCCCCCCACTATTCCACGCTCCCCTTCCCCACTCCCGAATACACCTACTATCCTGGGCCTTACCCGTAACCCCGACCCGGGAAGGCTCAGCCAGCGGCTTCACGGTGTCTCCTCCGGGCTTCCACCGCTCTTTAGTAACTGTCCCCACGCTTCTTCCCTCCAGGGCCCCGCGCGCCGCCAGAGCCCCCTCCCCGATTAAGCTCCCGCTGTCACTTGGTCTCTCATCCACAAGATGGCGGAACTGCGGCCCCCACCCCCAGGTCCTCTCCGCACCCCCTCTCGCCTTCCCGGAGCTCAGGTCCCGTCCCTTCAGCTTCCCCCGCCGCTGGGTCATCCCAGGGTCCCGCTGCCCCCTCCTCCGGCGGGCAAGCGGCCCAGGCCCGAGGCTCCGACGCCGCCAGCGCCACAGCCTCCACTGTTCCCCAGCCTGCACCTTCTCCTCACCATAAACTTGAGCGCTTTTTCCTGCAGCACCGCCTCAGCCGGGTCCATAATCGCCGGGGGCCGCTGGGTCTGCACACCGCCGGGGCCGCCCCCTTGGTACCAGGCCGCAGCCAACGCAGCTCCCGGATCCCGCCTCCTCTTCTTCCCCCCGCCCTCTCTTACCTCTCAAGACCCGGCAGGGGGTTAGGGGCGGAGGGCGGCCAGAGAGGCCCGGCTGCTTTGTGCGCATGCGTGAAGCCTCTGGCTGCCGGGATTTGTAGTTCTGGAGCTTCCCGCAGCAGAACGTGAGCCCATCCCACGAACCGCAATTCCCGCAGTTCACTGCGGCAGCGTTTCTGTTGCTGAGAAGCCAGATGCAGACAAGTAGCGGTCAAGTAGAGAAAATCGGCTCATGGGAATCGTAGTTTACAGCTACTACAGATGAGAAACGGGAGGGGCACAGGTGTCTCCGTGGTTACGGAGCGACGCCTGTGGCGGCTTGCCTGGCATTTGACATCAAGATGGCGATCAGTGCCTCACTTGTAACCCAAATACTGAGAAAAAGTGATTGGACTCATACGTCCTAGGTTTTAGAGCAGTGGACGTGCCGAAATTTCATCGATCGGGCGTCTGTGGACGGATTTCGATCCAGAGGCGCTGGGTCCATGGACACCTAACCAATGCAGAATTTCAAGGTCCTCCTAGGTGATCATCCATATTCCCATTCCCATTCCTCTTCCCAACCAAGTCAGGACTGGATAGAACGAGTTCTATCCAGGAAAATTCTCTGATGTTTTGTGCTCACAATGTATGCCCTGCTGCTGCTAATCCTGGAATGTAAATCCTGCAATAGTGGTCAAACAAGTACTTACAAAAGTCCTTCAGTGATGGTATATAATGGCTGTCCACCAAACAAAGCCAGTAAGTATATAATTTGGCCTTGAAAGAAACTAATTTATTTTGGAAATTGGTCCTACCCTAGGTGGGGAAAAAAAGCGCTAGGTTTCAGCTACAAATTGGAGTTATTTAAAACATCTGAAGTGATAAGTGAGTTAAGGAAATACCTTTTCACTTTTCAGAAAATTTTCCATTGTAAACTATTTCATCCATTTGTTCAACAAACAGTAAACACATAACCCAAGAAATGGGGAACATGGAAAACCCAGTCTCAGGGAGCTTACATTTCTAGTATTTGGTACTCTTCCTAGTCATCCCTATGTCTACAGAACTCAGCACAATACCTAATACATAACAAACTTTCCACTATTAAAAAGCTTTACTCTTGAGGGGCCTCCATGGTGGCATGGGATTAAAGTCTCAGCGCTATCAAGCTATCACCAGCCAGGGAGCTAGCCCACATGGCACAGCAGACCTTTCCTGTCTCACAGGCTGCTCCCCTCAGCAGTGTATTTCAGTAGATCCACCTGTTCTGCTCCCCACTCTGTCTCTTATGAATCCTCTCATTCCCCATATCTCTGGCTTACACCCCAGTTCTTCTATGCAATAAATAAAATGAATCTTTAAAAAAAAAATTTACTCTTGAGTTTAATAAAAAAAGTTCTATACAGGTGCAAAATAGAGAAGACTTAAAATTAATTTATAGTACTAAGTCGGTAATGTGGCAGAGTTGTCAAAAAAAGCTAAAGCAGTTCTAGGCAACTTAAAGAGTAGTGCCTGGTGGTGGTGGCGGGGGGGATCTCCCTCGTGGCACAAGGGGTTGGGACACAGCATGAGTTTGATCCCCGGCCAGGGAGGAGACCCACGTGGTGCAGCAGACCTCTCCTCACTCTCCTGCTGCTCCCCTCAGCAGTGTACTTCAGTTAGCCTGCCTGTTCTGTTCCTCACTCTGTCTCTGGTGAGTCCTCTCACGCTTCTGGCCTGTACCCCAGTTCTTGTATGCATAAATAAATAAATCTTTAAAAAAAAAAAAAGAGTAGTGCCTGGGAAGGAGAGGCTTATGAGTTTACACTGTTTTGAAACCCTCAGACCACACCTGGAGCACTTCCTTTAGTTATGGGCACATGTTCCACAAAGCCATGCAGGTGCATAGCCAAAGGCAGGATAACCAAGAGAGGAATTATTGCAGAATGCTTACTCTGAAAAAGGACCAATGGGTGGGATAATGATGATAATGGTGATGATGATGGTGGTGATGATGACATCTATCACTTTATTAGCTCTTTGTGCTAGGCATTGTGCTAGACATTTTACATTTTGTAATTTCCAATGTTCATGGTAACTATAAAACATATATTATTATCCCTAATTTACAGGTGAAGTGAATGAAACTGATTAAGATAAATAACTTATGCAAGTCATACAACAAGTTACATAGTCAGGATTCTAACCCAAGTCTGCTTTACTTAAGGCCAGTGCTGTTTTCACTGCACTGCACTGCAGTAACATAGGACTCAAACTCAGAGCTTTCATGGGAACTGTCCTGACATAGGAAATGGACTGTCTCATTCCTGAAAACATGAAGAGGCAGGGTGGTCATCTGTCAGGAGTATTGTCTAGGGAGTTTCAGTTTGAGTAGGAGGTTAAGATCTTTTAAACTCTTAAGATTCTATTCTGTTAAGAAGTCATTTGCTTTGTTATCCATAGAGAATTATGAATATATTGCCTGATGAAGCTGGCAGTCAGTGACAGTGAATCACTTTGTCCAGTCATGTAGAGGGAAGGATTAAGAAAACAAATAAAAGGAGTTTTTGTTTGGAAACCCAAACAGCTAAATACTTCATTGCATATGAATTGAAACTGAGCTGGCAGGGGCTGGGTACAGAAAGGGTGAAGCTTCTTTCTTGAAAATCGACAGCTCATGATCACGCACACTGAGAAATACAAATATGAGTAGCCTTGGTTTTCAAGCCACTTACATCCAACATCATATAGGAAAACTCATTCTATTATAAGTTAAAAGGTATGGTTCTCACCATTTTTTCTCTGGTTACTTGTTTGACTAAATCTCTCTGGTCCTTTCTTGTGTCATCTGGAAAACAAAGATATCTGCCAACTCTAAAATCAGTGCACCTTGAGCATGCTTATGGCAGTTACTCAAAGAGAATACTGAATCATTAAAACCTTTAAAGCTCCACCTTATTGGAAAACTGAATTTCCAGCATAAAAAATCTGTTACAACTGGACTTAATTTCTTCCCCTATTATCCTGGTTTAAGACCTCAGAATACTCTCACTCATCCTTACTCATTAATGTCCTCGTTCAGTCATTAATCTATCAAAATGTCTCTTACTAGTTCCAGACTACAATCACCTTTCTTAATTTACCACCATCAAACTAATTCTCTGGCTTCAGACTCTCTCTATTCACCTTTTCTTTAATCTCTTTTAGACTTCACTTTTATCATATCTCTCCCCTGTTCAATCCTTTTTTAGTTCTTAATCTCCTTTATCATTTTATCCTTTGA